AAAAAAAAACAAAACAAGAGGGAGAAACAGAAGAAGCTGATTTAATGCAGACACCCTTTATACATTAAACTATTATAATCTGTTTGGTTTGGGGCTTTTTTAAATTTTGAAACAGTATGCCACAAAATGTAAGTGCTCCACAATTAATTTGTTTTGGCATACACTTCGATCGATTGTATTACATGTCAGCAGTCTGAAGATTAAGAGGCAGGGCCTCAGAATTCATGAAATATATGTAAGTAAATATTTTGAAAAATGCTTCCTGTCAGCTGAGTCTGAGGAAATTAGATGTACAGTGTGTGTCAAAAACTCCATTTTTTTTCATTGAATGGCTGCAGAATGAAGAAAAATCATGCATCTATTTAATTATAATCTTTCATGCATCATATTTTAAGAAAGTACATGAGTAAAATCTGTGATGACCAAGAGGGAGTCCCTCTAATTAGTGGTGTTCAAAGTTATGTTTACAGCTCAGATGAAAGTGTGGATTTAGGTTGCGTGGGAAGCCGCATGGAGACAAAATACCTGATAGCACACACTGGTTGGGACAGGGAGTTTCTGGGACAGTTCCTCTTCTTACAGTCACGCTTCCCTGTCTCTGTTCACAATTCCTCCAGACCCTTGTCCTCAGGCTGCGGTGGTCTGCCAAGGAGAGGTTGTTCCTCTCCTAGTCTTTTACTTTTCTTCAGTCCCTGTCAGCCACTTAACTTCACTAGTTTTTTTTTTATCCTCAAGGAGAGGGCAAGTCTTTCATATCGATGCGGTAGCTGCCAACTTGAGATCCACCTAATTCTAGCTGTAGTTATTTTTAACAGTACAACATAACAATCCATTATGCTCCAAATAGGTGGGGTTACTGAAAGCTTTATTTCATGCTCTTGTGTACAGGCAAACTGACGGGAAGCAGATGTTCCCTTAGCATACTCTGAAGTTAGGCCAAACACAGTAAGCGAAACTTCCTTACAGGTACTTGGGTCTGAGTTAACAAGAAAAGCAAATGCAGAAATAAAGGAACTGTCTGTTGTTATTTATTTATTTTTGGCTTCAGGGATTTTTTTTAATTGGAGTAATTTCTGTTCTCTTCAGCAAGGCATCCTGTCAAAACTAGTTGAGTTCTTTAGAAGTTGGTTTCCTTTTCCACAATATAAGAAAAACGATGACATACTTCACCGACTGGTAAGTGATCACTTTCCCCCACCCCCACCCCCTCACCTTCCCCAAT